TTAAAACAAAGGCGGGGTGTGGAACTGTGGGGGAGGGGGTGGTGGTAGATAATATTTTAGGTGTTTGGCTCGCTCACATTTTGTTTGCGAGCTTAATCGGCACAGGTGGAAGCAGAACATACAATGAAGACAGTCATTGTATACACGTATTCTCAATCCTCTGCGACACCTGGATTGGCGGAGTAGCAACTTGAATCTAGCCCATTCTTAGAATTTGAGACTCATTCGTTGCTAACCTGCTGATTAAATGTATCTCGCTTGATTTTGGCGGCACGAGCTTCTGGAAAGCATGGAAATGCATTGACATGAACAGCTCGAATCCATTTGAAGTTCAGTGTAGAGAGGTTAAGTCCCCTGCAAGTGGCTGGCAGTTGATTGCGTCACTGGGCTTTATCTAAGGCCTCACGTAGTGGACATAATATCCAAGGTTCAATCGAACTGAACTTAGGAAGTGTTGAAGGGCGTTTCGTTCTGCTGGATTTTGGAGGATATCGAAAATGTGTGCCCCTTCACAATTCTGGAGTAACCTTTCGGTGACGCCTGAAAACTAATTATTTAGAAGCAACTAGCTCATGAAATTATCACGCAAATTTTTTTTGCGAAATTACTTCCAATGTCTCCTTTATTAATGTTTACGAATGATTCTGATTTTTCTAAGGTCACCACAAAGTTCTACCAGTTAATCCTTCTACGTGGCCTCTCCATCGTAGTTAAATTTACCTCAACAGGGCGTGGATTCTGAATATTCCCGTTCGTCCCGGAATCTTCGTGTCGGTGGCTCTGTCTTGCCACCTCGGCAACTGAGATGGAAGGGATTGAGTCGTGTGGCTTGTTTGACGCAGATTCTCCAATGACTTCACCCTATAGAACAACACTGTCAGGACTACCGCCCTGTACATCTTGAGTTTCTTTTTGAGTTGAAGTCTGCGGAAGTTGGAGATGGTGGGACGTAGCCGGCCGAAGCTCCGACTGGCTTTGGAGCTCCGCTAGACGACTTCGTTTTCTACCTTAACATTCCTTGGAATTTCCGGTTCATTTTACTCCTTGTTGGGCGCTGACTGGAGCATGATTACCGTTTTCTGCGTGTTTGTGGGGCGGATTATAATTGTGTCAAGAAGAGTTACGCGACGTCGAATTTATTCTCTCCTCAGAGTTTATGTGGATCCCACCTTCGAGACGGCAATCAGATGGTCATCCATGTAACCGGTTACGTTGTTTGGTTGTTCTTTTTTTCATGCCCGGTGCTCCCCTTGAGTAGCATAATTTACTGCCGGTTTCATTTGTGGTTGTTAGAATGCCTATAATTGGTTTTCTCTGCCCAGCCCTAGGAAAGTCACGCGGGTTCCGGCACCTAGAAAGGTGACCGAGGGGTTGCTCGACCGGAGTGCACTCGAAATTATTTTCCACGACCCATTCTCAGGCGAAGCAATGACTCAAGTCTTCAACTGCAAGCCCGCAAATGTTGCTACTTTAATTAAAACAGTGGTACTGAATGCAACATTAACTAATTACTGCTGCAGCCGCTGACTTGCGTGGGTTGCGGACGTGCCGCGCCCTACGTTCGGAGACTGCACAGGAAGCTGCTAGGACATTTATTATGCTTCTAGACCTTGTGTTGAACCATTTGAAAGATCCAGTTAACTTCTGACCGACCCCTTTAATTACATCGGTCCCACTAGTACTAATAGCTGAAGTTATTTATCCGCATGCTTGGCTTTAACGGCAGGCTTTTAGGGCAAATGCCCACCTGTTATGAATTTTCAATCACCATAGGTGTAAAAGACGGGCTATTGAATTCATCTCGCCTCAAGTTAATGCATTCATGTATCTCGAGGGCCAGTGAGGAGAGCTTGAGCTTTTTCCTCTCTGTTATACTTATAGATAACCGACTAAATTTTGGTTCGAAAATTGAACCCACCTTCACTGC